AATAAATAAATAAATAAATAAATAAATAAATAAATAGTATTGTCAGGAGACATTGATAGTAGGAGTGGCTACCAGGACACAAAAATATGGTGATCAGTAAAATGAAACAGTAAAGGGAGTAGAGGAATGGTGAACAGAACATCACACCTACATGTGACCCTCCTTTTTGAGAACTGTATTAGTGGGGAGGCATGGAGATATAAGGAAAACAAAAGAGGGCCAGAACAAAACTCCAAAGTAATAATTTAATTGTACACAACAAATGAAAACAGAACATTGCAACATTAATAAGAACTCTAAGAAAAAAGAGTATATCACATTTGGTCTCTATTTACACACCAGTAGAGATGGAAGATATTACTAAATTCCCATAATGATATATATTCTTACAAAGATAAGTAATTATCACAAAAAACAAGGTCAGTATACCTTGTCTGTTTATAACATTCTGGTCCAGCTATAATTAATATAAATTAGTAAATAAACCTCTAAATAAAGAATATGGATTACATTCATTAAGCACTTGCTATGCATATACGTATAACTGATAAACCAAGGGAGCCTGAATATATATTCTAATGAGGCAACCTCACGTTATGAGTCTTAAGAACAAGTTTTAGTAATAATTCCCAATTTAATTTTCAAAGATGCATAAACGCTGCATACATGGAGAATGGCCATGCAAAAATTAGAATACATTGCCTTTAGATTGCTGTGAGCAATTTGCCTTCCCAAGAATCTCAATCTAAGTTGGACTTCTTGGTGACTCCTAATTACGTAAAACTCAAGTAATTGGACAAACAGCTTTTTTGAGACTGATGATTCATGGTTAATAATTTGATCTAGTGGTTTCCATAAGTACAAAGTCTACTATGCTGGAGTTTACCACGATGAAGGGGAAAGAGAGATTCCATCAAAATGCATGGAAGTATCTTGTGTGAGAATAAGAGAACCAAAATCTGATGCAACTAATCCAGTTCTGCACTATTAACTCTTGTCCCAAACTATTATCTTATATTATCTTCTCTAACAAATTTCTGACTATAATGATGAATTTCACTGCATCATAGTGAGAGAATCTTACCATAAAAATATAAATTAGTCTTATCACACAAATTTAAAAAGCATCACTCATCCTAAAATCAAGACTTGCAAAACAGATAATTGGTGTGATAGCATCCCCGAAACTTATTTTATGTTTTACAATCTTTCTATACTTAGGAAGATGCTGAAAGGCTCCCTATATTTTACATTTTTATTCTGCATAATTTCCAACACACATTTAACTAAGCATAGCCAAAGCATTACTAGTTGCAGCTTGCCCTTTGTTAACCAGCCCTACTGAAAAAAATCTTGAACTGAAATTACCCATCATAAAAAGTAGTCAGATGAGTACCCTCAGCATTTGGGCATTTTTTAAAATGAAAAGCAACCTTGGAGGTTGTTATCTGTATGGGGAAACCTTTTTAACTCTTCTTTTTCCTAGTTTGTCTCCTTAATAGCTGTAATGCATATCCTATTTACAAGGGAGTGCTCTATCTGGAATAATTTGCCTTTGAACTTAATGGCAAAGTCTTCTTCAACCATTTAACTTTGGATGGATCATACCCCAAGAATAAATGTAAGGACCCGATTGCTGTCTAAAAGTTGTCATGATTGCCATCATTCCCTGATGGAAGGTGATCAAAGATGGATGCGAATAATATCCAAACACCCATAGCCCCCCACTCATGCCTTAGAAAGCATGATATCATAACAGAAGGAATCAGTCAAAATTTTGCAAAATTACCCAGAAAGCAAAAAACACTAGCATCTAACCAGATTCTATTTGTAAAAATACTCCATATATCTATCTCTATCTCCATATCTATCTATGTCTATACAGGTAGTCCTCACTTACTGACTGCCTTGTTTAGCAACCGTTCAAGGTTGTGACAGTTAAAAAAAAAGCTTTGCACCCAATTCTCATGTTTATGGCTGCTACAGCGTCCTGTGATCACCATTTGGGCACTTTGCAACTGGTGTGCATTTACAACTGTGAAACTGTCCTGTGGTCACTTGATTGCCATTTCCAAGCTTCACAACTGGCTTCCAACAAGCAGAATTAATGGAAGTGGAAATGAAATTGCAAGTTGCAATCATCTGATGTCTTGCTTAACAACTGCAGTGATTCGCTTAACAATGGAAGTGGAAGTGATGTTGTAAGTCTGGCACGGTCATGTGATTTGTTTAGTGACTGCAGCACTTAGCAACAGCTGCCGGTCCCGATTGTGGTCAGTAAGTGAAGACTACCTGTATCTATACCTATACCTACAACTATAACTCAACTGAAAAGACATAGTGAGAAATGGAAAAGTATGAACAGTATCTTCTATTTATTTGGTTTTACTCTTCCTTTATCAGACGTCTAGTCCAAACAGTGGGCTGCATCCTTACATGAAACCAAGTCAGTTTCATGTAAGAACTGGTGATCAGATTTTATCTAAGATTTTATTATATCATTCAAGCTTTTCAGACACGAAACATTACACTGTTGAAATGCTTTGAATGCTTATGGATGCATTCAACTGCTAAGAGAGGAAGGCATGGGAACACTTCCACAAATACTGTACATGGAATGGAAATAACCATTTAAATAAGAAGCAATCTTATTTCTTTGACAGTGTATCATCCTAATGGCTTATGAAACCAAGAAACTGGGACAAAATATATTCCTAGAAATCTGAGGAAGCAGTGCAATTATTTTATGGAATCCTGTCCATGTTACACATGCCAATTTACATAAGTTGTTCGAGTTCAGGGCTGGTGGACAATAGTTAAGGCAGCATAAACAAGATACAGTTATTGGGAAAAGGAGTTACTAAAGTTCTAAAGTGGAGTAACTTCTAGATGTGATGTAAGCGTCATTATGTAGACAGACAAATTGATGTATGCCACCTCTTATTCCCATTCTAATTATTAAAAATTTTCTTAAAATTATAATGAAATGTTATACTTAGTGCATTAAACAAATGATACTAAACATGAGTAGCTCTTACATTTATATATAAAATATAACATCTCTTCATATCATACCTTTTACATCTTCATCTTCAATGGTTGTGTTGGAACTCTCTGTTGATTCCTGTTGAGTACAAGAGTAATTTATTAAATAATCCCACATTCTTAATTTCTGCTTTGTATGTACAGTATTATACATATCATGCAAAGCCCTGAAGTAGACCATATGAATGCAAGACTCAAACAAATAACCACAGAGAATGACTGCTTCTGGTTTAAGCCAAATATCAGGCAATTTGAAAGGAACATAAAAAGAGATGCATTTCCTATTGACCTATGCGGGACTTCATAGGAAAAAAAAGGAAATACAACTGTGAAGAATGGGCAGATTTGATTTTCTTAAACCCTTTTGACACTTTTTAGGCAGCTATAGTAAAATTATGGTCACTGACTGTCAGAACTAGCCATTTCAGACTGGCAAATACAAGACGTAGAGCAAAATAGTCCAAGTAGAAATAGGCCCTGATTAATATTGCAGCCTGACCTACAGTCTCTTAATAACACTGCAGACACACAAAACCTCACATTAATTTTACATTGAGTCACAGTACTTTACAAGCAAAAGATCCCACATGCCCAAAGGCCTTTGAGCATGTGCTTTTTAAACAGCAGCAGCTCTTACCCTGCCATTCCCTCTTCTCCTGGCCATATGTGAAAGGGAAGTTTCAAGGCATATTATATAATGGGCCTCCAGTTCAATGCATGCATGCATACACACATGCATAAAGAAAAAGAAAGGCCTTACATTCTTAAAGGTATAACTAAAATTATGGAGACAGATGTAGGAATTAAAAGGATTTGATATTATCATTTTGCTGAAACAGCAAAGTTTAATCTGGACAGTTGGTGATTTACAAGGATTCCTATGACTACAGGTAGGCCTCACTTAACAACCATAATAGTGACCAGAAAAATTGGTCGTTAGGTGAGTCACCACATGACCAGGCCAAATTTTTTATGATGGTCATTAAGTGAATCACGTGGTCATTAAGCAAATCCAGCTTCCCCAAAGGATATTTTTGCCGGACTTCACTTGTGATTCACTTAACGATCGCAGTGATTCGCTTAAAGTAGCAAATTGTGATCATGTGACCACGGGAGGTGGTGCAATGGTTTGCAACAATCACAAATGCAAGTACAGATCATAAAGCACTTTTTCCAAGGCTGTCATAACTTTGAACTATTGTTAAATGAACAGTCGTTAAGTGAGGGCTACATGTATTGAATTTTTCAGTATTGAACAATATTGGAGTGTAAATATAACTGAAAAATAAATAAAACTTCCCCTTTGGTGGCAATATTTTTTTAAAAATAATATATTCAATAAAGAGGTGGCAAATCTTAAAACACAGATGTGCTCAAAAAATTTTCAGTGATTGTTTGCTTCTTCTGATGTTTTTACTCTATCCTTTTCAGGCTTTTTGTTCTCTGCCAGTTTAAAATGATTAGTTTTTTAGACAGCAGTTTTTAAAAATCCACTTTAGTATCAAAAAGGCAAGTACCTCTGATGGTTTGATGGATTACAAATAGTTAGTTGACACAGTTAAAAGGACACTATCAAAGATAGTAAAATGTTTAGCCTTTTATTTTTTAAAAAATGACTTTGCAAAACATTTTATGGAAACTTAGGAAAAGAAAAAAAAAAAGCAAAATATATGATTAAAATAAAATAAAAAAAAATAAAATAAAATAAATAAGCAATAAAATAAAATAAATAAAATAATAAATAGGTAAATAAAATGAGCAAAAAAAAAGTATAAACTTCATTTAAGAATTAAGGATAAGTGACTAAGAATTTAAGAATTAAGGATAAGTGACTAAGAATTATGGGGCATTAAGACCCTTAAAAGTATGATTAATTAAGCACATTTTTTATGACTGAAGGATAAGGACAATAGCTCTTCAAACACAGGTTTGCACAAAATATAGACTTGCATATGACTACTAGTTTAACCACTTGAGGCAACTAAGATTTATCACCAGGTTAAAAAAGAGACAGCTCTCTTTTTCTGATCATATCCCAAATGTATATGTGGGTAAACTACAACATTACATTATGCACTTGGGATTTATAAGGCTTACTGATTTCAGATGTCCCATGGTTTGGGATAAAACAATAATTCACAAATAACATCAACACATCTTGGTAGTGTCCTTTCTTTCTGTAAGGCTAATTCAAATGAAAGCGTCTGAAAGTTTAATGTATTGTCAGCAAGATATATACACCCACAAATGTGTCAGTGAGTGTCACACCATCCCAAACATTTGTCCATCCATTCAAAATAAACCATCATGCTTTGACTAGTTTAAAATGATACACACACACACACAGAGTTGTACCATGCTTGGTTATGTAACACACTCTTAGAAATGCTTATGAAACCCAGACACACATAAGCAGAAGAAATTTCATGCATCACCTTTGAAGCCAACTCCATGGAAACATCGAATTCACCCATCATGTTGGGGTTTGTTTTATTATTATTAGGGGGAGGGGGTAAGTGATGCACGTTTAACAAATATTTCCTCTACAAATGTTTTTTTTTCTTCCATTTTGAAACTCATTTTGGGTTCTGTTTAACAGGAAGTGGGAGGGGCATATTTATAACCATTTATATAATTATACAGAGAAGACAAGAAATGTAATCACATCAAAGAGCTATGATGGTTTGTCTAATATGGACTCTGAGGTCAGGTAAAATTTTGATATTAGTGAAAATATACAGTGTAAATTTCATGTTATTTACATATAATATAAAAGCCAAAATATGGTATATGAGGAAGTGATAGCAAAGCAAACATAAAAATCTAATATATATAAATAAATATGAAAATAAGCTACAGATCTATATATAATAAGCTAGGATATGTACTTAAGAAAAGATTATAGTATTAATACTAATGTTCAACTACTATCCAGAAACACAACAGAATAGTTACAAGTAATTAAACTGTCAGACAAGAATATTGATGACAAAGTATATAGTGATATTTTCTTCAATTACTGGACTAGGAAGCAGTAATCCCATTGTAGAATTAAACACTGTAGCACAGGCTAAAAATAGTTTCTTCTTTTTAAAAATATTTGCTTATCCCAGAATCAATCAGTCACTTAGCCCCTTTCCAAGTGTATACAGAAAGAAAAGGGAGATGTTATGCAATGCAATCCACACATACAGCTGACCCGGGAACAAAAATGTAACAGGTGAAATCCACCTTAACATTTTTGTCATTGAAGGTGTGGGCAGCTGAATGGTGTTCTGAAAGAAATCTTAAGTTCAATCGAGAAGTTATTTCTCTAATCAGGAATGGAAAGCTTCTCATCTGAGCCATATTGTGTTTGCTAGATCCAAAGCATCTTCTTCAAGGGTCACATCAGCCAGTTATAGGCACTGGACTACTGGAGTCCCCAGGAAGGCAAAGACTAACATAAGGGACATGAACGTCTTTTGACTGACAACACTAGAATTGCTGCTCACAGCTGGAAAAGTTTAAGATGTTGACTCAAGGAGGAAAAACATAGTTGAGAAACTGTATTCAAGTTTGTATGGATGAGGATATATTACAACTTTATAAAAACAGCACCTGCTAAAATGTAAACATAGGAGTAGCTCACCAGGCAATTTAAAATTAGCAGTGTTACCCCAAAGATTCCCTACTTCGATTGTATAAAGATGAATGTCCAGGCTGAGAAACAAAAGATAAAACAGACCTCCAAGTGTGTCTTCCTTGAATTTCAGTAATTATTGCATTAAAAAAAAGGACCACTCTGCATTTGAGGAAAACTATTTTTTTTCTATTCCAAGCCAGAAACCTGAAATGGAAATTAGAAGCACTAAACAGCTCTCACTACAATTTCTTGGTCCTCAACCTATGTCACCTCTATCGTGGTTGAGAAAAGGGCTCACCAGGATCCAGTTACAAATGGCACAGGGCTCTACAGACTTCATGAATTCCTAATTAATTTCCTAGCTAAGGCTTGCATTAACATTGTGATTTGGAAAACTGAATGGAACATGGAATTTGAAAAGAGCAGAGCAGACTTGTTCTTTCTGAATACCTTATTTCCATCTGGATTGTGGATTACTGTAGTTTGGGGCTCCTGAGTGAGAGTAAAATAGAGAGAAAAAACAGTTCTCATCAACAGATTTTGCATTAGTAAGAGGAGGAAGAATGAGATGACCAGATGATATGTGCTAAGTACCGACAAGAGCTAAAGCAATGTTAACTGCAGCCAGAGGATGTCACTGGCAAAACTGCTAGAAAGGTAATCATATCTATTGTACCAGCATGCAAAAAATCTTAGTGATGATTTGGAGACTTGCAGGGCTTTGAAGTTCTGGAGATCTAGAGAGGCACTGAGTTCTCCCAGGGAACGTGCTGACCATTCATACCATCCTGTTCTTTATGTCATTTATACCATCCTATTTTATGACACAGTTTCCATGAGGGAAAGTATATTAAGTAACTGATTAAAGCACAATTAAAGCCTACAAAGATACAAGGGGCCATAATAGGCTAAGCACTTGCATGTTTATATATTTGTAACAATCCAGGATGCAATGAGGAGTGCTGACAGCCTCTAACTCATTTTATACAGAGTCTTCCAGGGCCATCCCGTATCTAGGTGTGAGCCCAGTGTTCTCATTCAGGGGGGATTTAAAAGTTTTCATAATTTGTGCAAAGGCACTTGGGAGATACCTAGTAGACATATCTTATCAAGCCAGTACTTACTAGTATATAGGAACATCTTGTGCAAATTTGAAAAAAGAGCATTTCTTCAAATAAACTTATCAAAATATGCAAGGTGGGATGCCTCTGCCAATTAATAGACAGGATTTAATTTTAAAGCATTGCCATACAGCCCCAAGAAATCAGAATAAATAACAGAAGCAAGGTTATGATATAAATAGCCAAACTCATTAGTTACACAATCCCCCAGAGCCTATTATGGCACAATGATTTTTATGTAATAAAAGGTAACTATAACAAGTTTTTAGAACTAGATGCCTCTTGATCTCAGTAAGCAAAGTCATGCAAAATCCTGCTGAGAAAGTAAAGGAA